TGTTTCTAATTGAGTACCAGTTTAACGTTGAATATTATTTATGATTTTAACTTTATACACAAGTGGCAAAATAATATAATTAGTCATTTCTTTTGATAAAGGATTTTCGACCACGTAAAATTTTACATGATATTTTAATACATCAAATTTAACATGAAAATGCATTGGTAAATGCTTAAAAACAATTCTTATGAAAATCACTCAGACGCATATCACAGTGATGCATGTCGATCATTAAGCAATTCAATAAAAAACATAAAATGATATTCGTTAGGGATATATAAATGCGTCATATTTAGCACACCATGTTGTTACAGAAGAAGACAGCCCAGATAGGAAAATTTATGAAGCAATACATTTCTACGTTTCTTTTATGAATCACGCTGTACCGTTGGAGACGTAAGTCCTGTGAACATAGCGATTAGCTTGCTATGTCAACAGATTAACACTTGCCTAGCAATATGTAATCATTTATATTACACACGATGTTTAAAAGATACTAGAAGGAGTCAAACGTATGGCAGTGTTGGTCCTATTATTCATTGATCTGCTGCCTCAATAACGTAGTTTAAAATAACACTTTCCAAATATTTAGCATTGTAGTGTTAGCTGCATGCTTGTTTTTGTTTTTAAATATTTCCAAAAACCAACAGCATCGTAAACTGACTACAAAAAAGAAAAAAATGTTTTCCTAAATATTCCTCTCAATAGCAGCGGCACTTGAAATTATTTTAGGCAGGATAAGAGTAAATTAATCTGTGAGACCTTTGTTTCCCTCTTTGTTAGTTATATATTTGTGCGCCAGCAATCCTAAGCGTTGGAGGATAAGAGTAAATTAATCTGTGAGACCTTTGTTTCCCTATTTGTTAGTTATATATTTGTGCGCCAGCAATCCTAAACGTTGGGTGCGCGTATACCTGATTCGATTTTATTACTCATCAGGAAACCTCTACCAACCTACCCTCAAATTGAAATTATAGGCAGGATTAGAATGAATTAATCTATGACACCTTGGGCGTGGTCAAACACATAAATCGAAAGGGTTTGACATCCTGAGTCGAAAACTATAATTATATCTCAAATCGGTCAAGAGATGACGGAGCTATGAGCTAAAAGTTTGTAACTGAAAAAAACACACACACAAAAAAAAACACACACTCAAGAGTCGTTCTATGAGCCGCCCATGTTAAATATAACGAATTTAGCATTTAATCAATGTGTCCACTTAAAGTGTTCCAAGTAACTTAAGTTTATACAAAGATTTCAATATACTCATTTTTTAAATTCAAAATGCTAAAACACACCTTACTACATAAATAATTTCCTTTCCAACTTAACGCATTCAAAAACGTAAATATGGTACGTAGAAATTACTTGTGTACTCAGTAACATATACTACATGAAACTAGGAGGAGAAAGATGAGAGCCGTTAAGGGAAATATCTTAGTAATACACATATTACTGTGAAACAGGAGATACATTAGTTTGTGTCTATAGCTCAACCATAGAATTCGCCGTTTTACCTCAAGTATTACACGTCTCTATACAAGTCGCGTATTTTAGCAGCCTGTTATTATTATAACACATAAGTAAGTGATGAGAAATTTTGCCTGAGGACCTAAAAAAGTGCTTAGCCAGAAGTTGGCGAATGCTTAAAAAATCAAACGCAAACTTAATTTATATATCATGATAAGAAAAAATACCTTGATTAAAAATCCTCAATAGGTGAAAAATTATTCCTATTTCTTTAATATTTTATTTATATTCACATGAGCATAAATACAGTTTTAACACATTTTTTATGATGAATAGTGATGTCATACTTGTATAATACCTTTTTTTTTGCTATATAGTAAGGTTAATTACACTCTACGAGAGTAATATTCCAAGTTAATGTTGCCCTTGGAACTGCTTATGCAACTGTCATTTGCGCTAATCTGAGGGTTATGATTACTCACTATTGCTGACATTACAATTTCCATTTTAACAAGCTTCTGTGAAACACAAAGAGGTCAGCTCACACACTTTAAACTTTAGATAGTCCCTCCATCTTGTGTGGAAGTCGACTTCCAAAATCACGTTTTAGCAGAGTTAAGGCACAAAAATCTGAGGATTTAACAGTTGTGTATGGTAGAATGGGGTTGTTATTATTCCAGTATCTTCAGCCAACTTTCTCATGAAAACAGCTGTTGATTTCCAGGTCTGACTGGATGCTTGTGAAAGTTTGGCTTTTGAATCTTTGCAACTTAAAAATATTGTTTATTATTTTGTTGATTGTATTAGGAGATATATCCAGCTTCTCCACAATAGCTTTTTGGGTTATTGGGCTATCTTCGTACGCATAGTCTCCATGTTGTGGATAAGAATGTTGCTCCAGATTGGCTTTGGGTTTAGTTGCTGAGTCTGCTGCTGTTTTAAACGCTCTGCTGTGCGCGTTTTTCAGCTTCCATGGAGAACATTGAAGGCTTCTTTGAAATGTGTGTTCCGTGGCTTTACATCGTTTTAAATCTTGCTGCATGACATCCTTTATGGTAAGCAAGTTGATATGTACATTCCTCCAGCTGAAAGACTATCAGTGATGATGGCATTTCACTGTAGCATGGTCGGATATTTGCTGTGAATCAAACATATAGGTGCTAAACATGTCAACCGTAGCGCCACGTCTCGCATATTCGGCTACACGTCAAGCATACGCAATTCTTTCTTTTACAGCACAATTAACCCTCTGTATAATTGATGTGTTCAATGTTTCTGAATGAATAATTCTAAAGTATTCAAGTTAAGTTTATCTGCAGTAATAAGTATTTTATATACTATAGTATTTATTTTTAGATACGTATTTAAG